TAGACAACATTAATTGAATATTAACCATGGTGCTGGATACTGTGCTAAAGGCTTCATGTGGATTATCTCATTTATTTCTTACTATGAGCCAATGAGGAAGATGCTCATAACCCTACTTTTTTTTAATAGGTAGAGAGGTTAAAGACCTTGCCCAGGTAGAAGTGGTGGATCTAGAACTCAAATTTATGTGTTTCTAACTGTGGAGACCTCACCCTTAGCCACTATGTTATAGCAGTTCTAGTTTAGTTGGGTTTTTCAGTACCATTTCAATACAGTTTTTGTAGAAAACGGAGGTTCCTTTAGCCCTTAAAAAAGATGATTTGGCTAATTGCCCAGTTAACTCCTTTCAGAATATTGGTTAAAGCCCTTCATGGCACTTTGCAGAGTGTTTTCTTATATATCACACAGACCTGGCATTATCTCTGAGTTGCTTGTTGTATGTTTTGTCTTTTCAACATGTGAACAAATTTCTGGCTGTCTTTTTTTTACAGAAATCTATAATTAGTTTGAGGTAATAATGTTCATTAGCTCAAGTTACAAATAGTATTCCAGTACCCCACTTCCTCCTCAGAACAGCATCATCAACAATTACTAGTAACCTCCAACAATTAGTAAACTATTAGATTGGAAAAGGTTTGCTATTATGTCTGGAGAAGCCCTCTGCTTTTGACCTGCCATTTGTTGAGTGGTATTTGTTTATGTTTCTTCTGTTTTCATGTTCTACCCCCTAGGCAGCCTCTTCTTATCTCATTTAACCCTTATGATAAGCCTGACAGGAAGGCTGTGAGAAGTGAAGGTCAGACTCTGGGTTGGCAAGTCATCTAGAGAGGAGATTCAAATGCTGGCTTTCAGATGCCGAAAATCTTGTCCCAACATTTACCCAGACACATAAATATTACTCCATGTTACCCTACATACCTAGGTTCTCTACTCTGGCATAATTTTTCTGTATTTCACTTCTTCTTGCAGCCAGAGTGGTAAATAAAATCTAGGAAAGTGAGGTATCATAGAAGCCAGTGAGTGAATGAATGAATGAATGAATGAATGGAGTATACAAACTATATATTTCCACCTCTAGATAGATACTCTGAAAGAATCTGCACAACAGCTGCTTATGCTTGCTCTTATCAGCCCTCATTTTGTCGGTGATAGTGAAACTGTAAAGTGAGAGAATTTTTTCCCTTCCAGTATGGAATTCTTCCATATCTCTTTCTTGTTATATCCTAGGTCCCTTCTATTGTTATACCGTCAGTGACCACCAAATATGGCAACATAAAACTGTTCCTAGCAACATCCTAATGCTTTAAGTATAGATCTTTTCTGATCCTTTTTAAAAAACTTGACTTGTCCTTCTGTCAGCACCATGCTAGGTCATGAGCAGGATCATCTGGTAAATACAATATAGTTATAAAAGGCTTAATGGTTACACCTCCTACATATTGACCAGCAGTTCTTTAACCCACAGGTATGAATAATAAGGTAATAACTGATTGAGAAGCCTGCAGGTGAAACAGTTTTAAGTAAATATATTAAGAAATTGTAAACCAGAACACTTGGTTGCTCTATCAAGTATAAAACCAGCCTTTTTTTTTTTTGCGGATCAGCCTTTGGACAAAATCACACGCAACATTAGGTATAAATACAAACAGCTATTATTGGAAAACCTCTTGAAATTTTAATGTAATTCAATGAGAAGACATCATTTCCGATTTATCCACATTGCATACATATACAACTTTTCAGTGTATCCGGGTAAATAGTTCGGGAGAAAGTACAATAATGAGGGAACCAAAGTTTTTCTGATCACGTATCACGTGCTAGATGATTTGCGTATATTATTTCATTTAATCCTCATTCAAATGCTACAAGGTAGACGTGTCCTATTTTACAGATGAGGAAATTAAGGCTCAGGGAAGTAGCACCGAAGTTCACTTTTACTATTAACGTGCATTTGAAGCCTGTTCTTTTCCCATTGCATACCAGATGGCCAACCAGGGAATTGGTGGAGTAGGGAGGAAGGGGAAGAGATCTAAAACCTGAGTAGGACCTAGTGAGTTATAGGCTGCCCTGTTCAGGAAGGCTTCCTAGGAGTGGTGAGGTTAAAAAAACTGTTTGAAGAAGAGATTTTTCAATAATCCCCAAATTTAGAGCCAAAAATCAGGTTAAAGTGGTGGTAAAATTAATCTTAAGTTGCTTAACTGTCCTCAGGTACATGTGGTAAGTCTTCAAGAGGGCATGGGCCCTCTGGAGCGGGCCTCGGGGCTGTGAGGCTGGCTTAAGAATCAAAGAGGTAGGGCCTCCACAGGTTTTTCTTTTGCTCCTGGGGACACTGCCCAGGGGATCACAGAAGGGTCTTGTCTATGTGCCTTGCTTTTTTTAATTACAGAAACAACCGCTTAAGTTTGATAAAAAGAGCATACCCTTTCCACACAGTCACTGAGCCCAGTAGGTTCTGGTTGTATGAGGGAGACCTGACTGAATGACTTGAAGATATTCTTAAGTGTCCAAAAGATCCCTTTATTTCCCTTGTTCTCCCACTGTCATTCTTTATTCTGCTCTTCTGGGAGCATCAATATATTTGATTCTCTAACTATGCAGTCCAGGATGTATTTATTATTAACCAAAACTTTGCCTTATGCTTTAGCATGGCAATTAGTGGGAGGCTTTTTTCTTTTTTTTTTTTCTTTTTTAATTTAAAGGTGATTAATTTAGGGGTGATAACCAAAAGGGTGGCAGTTCGAATCCACCAGCTGCTCCTTGGAAACCCAATGGGGCAGTTCTACTCTGTCCTATAGGGTCGCTATGAGTCGGAATCAACTCGATGGCAACAGATTTAGGGGAGAATGGTAAAAAAGACGTGAACGTTAAATGTTTTTATAGTTGACACGGAATTTTGGCATGTGCCAAGTTTGGTTACGTTATCACCTGGTATCTCTTTTACTGTTGATTTTTAAAACTGGATCTAAAAAATGTAATAATCTTGTGTCCTGATAGCAGATCCGTCCGTTATGATAGGCTCCCTTCCTGCCAGTCTCCTCATGAATGGCTTTTCCATGTAATTATTATCCCACCGTGTTGCTACAGTCCAGAAAGCTCAGCCCAAGGTGGCTGGTCATAAAGACTCACAGAACTTCGAGGGCCACAGACCGCCCACTTTCAACGAGGTCTGTCAGTCCCAGCAAACCGCTTTCCTGCTTTTGCCCCGGCCTTTTTCCACCCACAATGGCCAGTTACCGGATGGATGAGCCTTGTCATGATGGGTGGTAGAAAGAAGTCCAGAGCCATTTCCTGTCGGCAGTGTGCTGATATAGGACAGGGTACAGCCCCCGGGCATGGTTTCTGGAATATCCGAGTATCCTCTCACCATTTCTTTTTTGTCCTAATGAAAAAGTTCCTGGCTTCTACTATTGCTGTTCCACATTGTTGGCGTCTCATTGGGGTTGCTCTGATATAATTATTCTAAGTTCAATAGATAATAGGCAGATAATAGAAGTTTTTCCGAAACTCTCCTCCCATCCTTTTTGCACTCCCCCCTTTGTTTCAGCAAAGGAAGGAAAAGACACACACATATCCCCTGTGCCACACACAGTTCTATTTTGGCACTGGTGAACAGCAGGCAAACACGATAAAGTCGAAAGGGTTGTTTCCAGATCACCTTCAGGGCTGGAGAAATTATTTCACGCCAACTTGATATATGGAATTTAAGAAAGAGAGGGCTCACAAGCACAAACAGGAAAGCCTTACATCACGGAGTAGCGTGGGGAGGAGTCTGCTGCGCCCTCGCTCGCTCGCTGCGCTCCCTTTGTGGCCCGAGTCGCGCGCACCCGCGGCGGCGGCGGCAGCGGCGGCGGAGTCAGCGCAGCGCGTGTCTGTGCGCGGCGGCCGGGAGGGACCGTGGGCAACAGGCGCCGCAGGGGTGAGCCGAGCAGAGACTACGTTTGCCTTGGAGCAGGACGCATCATGCTGCGTTCACATACCGAAGAGAAAACTGAGAATGAAATTGCTTTGGGAAGCTAAAATGGTAACGAGAACTCCCTGACTTCTCCCGAGGCTTTTCTGGTGGGGAATCTTCTCCCGCTCTCACTGGGAGTGTTTTGGACTCACTAGGAGTGACCGGAGCAATCCGATCCTATACTTGTGAGCTAAAGCTTTCTCACTTTGCTTTGTATGCCTCACTCTCTGCGTGTCTTGTCCATTTAAACGGTACTTACTTTCTCAGTAATTGCCTTTAGTGTTTGAGGCAGATGCATGTCAGGAAAGGAAAACTTTTAAGGAAAAAACTGTTCGTGTGGGTGAACCGCGGAGCGCTTCTGCGTCCCAGCGGCTCTTTAACACAGACCTTAGGTTTAGCTGGGGACAGGGAAAAGCAGGGGGTCGCTGCACAGATTTTAGTTGAAGCTACATGTTGAAGTGTTGCTTATTCTGCGCTTGCCAAATTATTTTACGGAAACAAAACTTTCCACCCCCACTAATTTTTGGGTTCCAACACAGTAAGGGGAGAAAAAGACATTCAAAGTATTTCACTTCCCAAGGAGTGAGGACTCTTGGCATTTTAAACACTTGCTTGTGCCTGAGTTAAAAATGTAGTTTGCTCAAACAACTGAGCCATTTATAAACAGTACAAACTTTTTTCGACAAATGAATTATTTTTCCTTTCATGGGGGAGGGGAGTTAATCAAGAGCAAACCACTGTTTCTTTAATAAAAAGAAAAAAGAAAAACTTAGAAAAAAAAAACTAAATATGTGAGCAAGTCTAGGAAAAATAAATGGAAAAGTCCGAGGGTCCTGATACCACAGGAAAGAGATGTGGGCCAAGTAAATCTCAGCGTTCCCTCTATTTCAATGTGTCTTATATTGCTCTGATTGTAATATTTATTTTGAACAGCCCATCTTTGGCCCTGAGTGCTGTTGCAAGCAGCAAAGCAGCTGGGATAGATTGTGGTTAGCAAGAGGGGGGGAAAAACCCAACTTTTTCTTTCTCTTTATCCCATCCCTGGCAGAGCTCGATTCAGGACTGGGGTGAAGAGGTAGAGGAAGGAGCTGTTTACCATGTCACCCTCAAAAGAGTCCAGATTCAACAGGCTGCCAATAAAGGAGCAAGATGGCTAGGGGTGAGTAATGCTGGAGAGACTGCTCGTGAACTTTGGAGTTCCACTGTCTGTTGTTCTGTGAATATCATTATTACTTAGCAGAGGCAGGCTTTTTTTTCCCCTTTTCCTTTTGGTCTTAAAAAGGAAACTGCTGATGACCAAGTGTTTGCTCTAGCCTGTACAGGTCTGTTTTTGTACTTGATGTTTTCCAAAACATCTTCCCTACGTTTGTCAATAATTCAGAACCTCTTAGAAACATCTTGAGGTATCTGGCAAATAGATTGCAGTGCAGTGGCAGAAAGTGACCCACAAAGTAGCAGAGCTGGAGAGCAACACTCTACTAGACAAGAGCCATAAGCAACTTTGCCCAGATGGCCCCATTTGTCTCTCTGCTCACCCCCCATTTATGCTGATAGCCCCTCTCCTGCTCTTGTACTTCTGACAAGTTCCCAGAATGCCCAGGGGACAGACCATACCAAATGACTCACTTTGAGGGGTGGCAAATTTTGCGTTGTTATCTCCTTTCTACAGCCTGGGAGGAGGCAAATGCATGTTTAGTTCCCCTATCTTCCTGTGCAGAGCGCTGGACTTTTGGAGAAGCACTGATTTTGTAAGCAAGACTCTTTTCCACTGAGACTGTAAAATATTGGGTGAGTCATGTGAGTTCTTAGTTATTGCCTAGTGAATCCTTCAGCACATCCCAAATAAAGGGCATGTGAGAAATTGAAAGTTCAGTGACAGGATCACTGCTTGGGCAAACATCAGCATGTGGAAGAAGGAAGCAGCTCTTGTTACGGAGAGAGAGGTGATCCAGAGAGAGAGGTGTGAGAGGTGACACAGAAAGCCTTGAGAAGGGAAATAATATAGGCTGGCTTCTCTACATGGTAAACTTGGTGGAATAGAGGGGATGAGGTGTGGTTTCACCTGGCCTTATTCAACGTATACTTCACAGGTGATAGGCTTGAGAGAGCACTGAAGATGATGCATTAGCATCCCATTTTTATTGACTTTGGCTTCAGAAAATTCAGAATATTTTGAACAGCATTCAAACATGAAGTGTAAAGGAGGAGGGGAAACAAAACTGCCCAGAGCCTTGTGTCAATATGAGGGAACGTGTGACTTGGAAATCCCAGTGTGTAAGGCAGGGCGGCCAGCAGTCATTCCCTCTGCCACAGGACTGCTAACACAGGCATTCATTGCTTTGGGTCTCCCCAGCTGCTTCAGCTCAGGGCTTTCCTGCTACTGTACTTTGGGCTGAGGTACCACCCACTAGGAGCAGTAAACTGTTAGTGACATCTGCAGCAGTGGCCCGGAAAGGTATGAACCTTTCCAGTGAAAACTAGAGATGTTTGCTTATCTAGTAGGTGCCTTACCTAGAATGTAATGTGAAAATGAATCATGTGTATTACAGCAGACTTGACAGGAAAAGGAGAGCTAGAGTTCTGACAAGTCATCACTTTGTTTATGGTGGTTGTGTATCTATGCACTTTATTTAATGTGGTATTGATGTGGTTTGGCCACTCTGGCTATTTTCAGAATGATTCACAAGTTCTGTACCATTTCAACTGCCTTTGAAAAAGGTCATTACATTTTCTGGTGCTGGGTTATTCCTCTCTTTTAGTGTTTAGCCAAATACAATAGCAACAAGTGAGTAAATCATGGAAAAATGGAGGCGCTAACTCTGTAGACCCCAAGCACATAAACCGTCATTTATTTCGATGTATGCGGTTATTTAGTAATTCTCACTGGGGGCAGTGGTGATTCAGTGGTAGAATTCTCACCTTGCATGCGGGAGACCCGGTTTGATTCTTGGCCAATGCATCTCAAGTGCAGCCACCACCCGGCTGTCAGTGGAGGTTTGTATGTTGCTATGATGCTGAACAGGTTTCAGTAGGGCTTCCAGACTAAGATGGACTAGGAAGAAAGGCCTGGTGATCAAATTTCAAAAATCAGCCAGTGAAAACCTGGTGGATCACAATGGTCTGATCCCCAGCCGCTCATGGGAATGGTGCAGGAACAGGCAGCATTTCTTCCCATTGGGCGTGTGGTTGCCATGAGTTGAAGGCAGGGGAGCTGACTTGATGGCAGCTAACAACATCATTATGTTCACTAGACTTCCGTTCTTGTCTTCTTTTCTCCCAGTTTTCTCAAATTTTAAATCTTACATGTATACATATACACACATACACGCACATACATATAATCATTTTTTTATTGTGCTTTAGGTGAAAGTTTATAGCTCAAGTAAATTTCTCATACAAAAATTTATACACATATTGTTTTGTAACATTAGTTGCCAGTCTTGATACAGAGTTCAGAATTGTTTCACCCCTGGACTTAGCAGAAGATCTGAAATACTGAGAGGGAGGTTAATGTAAAAAGATTGGTTCCAGTTGATATAGGAATCCATTACCACTCCCTCCCACTTTCAACAAAGTGTGATTTGCTGCTACCACTCCATTCCTCAAGAACCAGTTGTTAGGAACTCTCCAACTCTGATCCCACATGTTTTCCTGTCTTTGGTGTCCTGTTGGGAAGCTCTGTTTTAGTCCTTGGAAATTCCAGACTTTAATTAAATGACTCAACCAGTTGAGCCATAGCAATTACAAAACCTTTCTTTTTAGGACTGTGTGGCTTCCCCATGTTTGTTTTCCTACATTCCAGTAACCCCTTCTTCAAAGTAATCAGCTTTAGTTAACTAGAAATTGAACTGAGGGATAAAGATAGCAACATTATTGAAGTATGACAACAACCTTACAAAGAAGGTAGTGTTATTATGATTTCTTTTTATCCAGCTGAGGAATTGATGCCCAGAGAGGTTAAATTGCTTGCCAAGGTCACGCACCTAAGAAGTGGTAAAGGCTGGATTTAAACCCGTGTGAGTTAAGTGCTTACTGTAAGGAGCTGCAGGGAAACTTAAGGCTGTTTCCGTAGTAGCGGCAGAGAAAATTGGCTCAAAAGATGTCGCACCTGCTGGTCCAGGACTTGAGATATGTGGCTTTCTTTTCTTTATATTTTTTGCTGCAGATTGAGATATTTGTTTTGAAGATGTGTATCTTATTGAGAAACTCTACATTTTTGATGTGGGTGTGGTGCACCGAGTTACGTATGAGCTTGTGTAGAGAGCGTGAGGGTGAGCATCGATCGCTCTTGTCACGTTTATAATCCCTATTCAGAAAGCCTAAATGAGTGACTGAAATTTTTGTATTTTCTAGTATTCAGATCTTAGTACTGATTAAGATTCAATTTTGAGAAGGATAGCAAAATAATTACACATCCTCAGATATCAAGTATCCTACAATCCAAAACACTTAGGTCATTCTTTTTTTTCTTTGTTAAATTTTGTACTCAGTTGGTCTTTTAAAGTAAGACCTTCTGTCTTTGGTTGAAAAATACACAGCCAAATATGGTCCAGGCCTGGTTTACTTATACGGACATCTGCCGTCTTGTCCATTAACAGTGAGGTTATGTTGGACAACTTTGAGAAACCAAATATTATTGAAATGCTGACCCATTTTTTCCTTTACAATAACATCTTAGGCTGGGATAATTATGCCCAGCTATAACCCTCAAAGAAAAACCACTCTGATTTTGTCATAGATTCATAAAATCTCGGAATTGGAAGAGACATTAAAAAGTAATTTTACCCAACCATTCAGTTAACTTGTAGAATGTCCAGTGATTTTTGGAAGAGTAAATGGTCAGAACTTGTTATTTGTCTTTGGTTTCAGCATTGTGGTTATACATCCACAGTGATATGTAGAAATGAGTTAAGAAAATATCAGTATTCTCTGGCAGCAGGAAATGTACTGTTTTAGGGAGAATACTCTAAGGGACAGTGAAAAAGAATTCAACTTTTAGGGAAGGGGCTTTGGTGTCAAGAACTCATGCTACCGTCTTCAGAATATGACAGACTCAGGGTGCAGAAAACTGTGTTAAGTCTTAAGATAAGTTCTAAGGGGGGGTATTTATTTCACAAGCTAGGTAAGAATTAGGGAAGTTTGTGGGAAGTAGAATGGATAGTGGATAGTCTTGTGGCTTTTCTTAGTTCTACACTTCTGTGGTTATGTGGTCCTTGTGGTGGGACTCCAGCGCGCTCCTTCCCTATGTCCAGTATGTATCACACACTATCTCCCACAAAGTAGGTTCTTGATAAATGTTTGTTGGGCTAAATTGAAATGCCTGATAGGTAAGATAAACAAACAGGACAGGAGAAAGCAGAATATATCTAGAAGTAAAAGGAACTGGATATCTGTTGTAGAACCTAGTGTTTAGGGTGAATTGTGGCCAGATCGTGGGCTATGTGGGTGCAGTGGTTTAAGATAGCCACTTGTCACATCTGGATTGAGTAATTGACTCCCACTTGGATACATTATTTGAATTGACTGTAGTTGGTGTTTTGGTGATTTTGGTATCCATATTGTCTTCAAATGGCGTTCAGTTCCTTGCGTTCTCAAGGAAGCTTCTCTGATCCCCCAAGTCTGGAGTTGGTGCCTCTCCTGCCCCAGAAGCATCTTGTATCTCCCTGTTGTGCAGTTACCTCACTTGTAATTGCCTCTTTACTTGTTTTTGTCCCCCACTAGACTCTAAGCTTGGTGAAGTGACAACCACGGCCGTCTAGTTAGCAGAGACTAGACAAATTCATTATGTTTGTTGAATGAATGGATTAAGCTTTATCCCTCTTTAGGGAACTGAGATTGTCTTGATAAATATGAATGTATGGTTGTTCCTCATTAAAAAAAATCAGCATGAAGACGTTGGCTTATAAAGAAGAGAAGGGGGTGGGCTGGAGAAAAATTAATTAGGTAATGATTATAGTTGTCTCACATCTTTTCTGGAACAAAGCAGGACACAAACAAAGGTAGTGATTATTCACTTTAACAAAAAAACCAAAACCAAAAACAAGAAAAACACTGCAGTGAATTAACTATCAAATTCCCCAGTGCTTTTTTAAACCAAGAGGTTCAGTCATACTCATGTTATTGCTGAGTACAGAAGAAAGAAAGGCAATGTATGCGTTA